TATTGGAGCTAACTCGCATTATACTTTCGTCCTAGAGGAAAGCTGCTTTGCTTACAGCTTCATTACATTTGTAATCCCTTCCTGGGCCCATTCCACAGGGTCAGATTGTGCAATTTTTAGATAAGATTACATCAGTCGTCTGATTAGATTCAGTTTATATTCACAGGTGTAAAACTGGTGTTTTGGTACGACTCCCTCTTCAATTCACTTCATTGCTTCAAAACATGTCTACCAAAATACTCGGTCACTACACTTCTCAGTAAATCCTTTCAAGCCCTTTGAGGTGTTCTTCCAATGTGAAAGGCACTGTACCAAGAGTGAACACAAGCATTATTTTTAAGGTACCGTCAAAATGTTTGTTTGTTGTTTCTTTATCGGAAGCAATAAGCATGATTCTCGGGATTGTTTTATCCTTAAGAAAAACCCTTCGGGGTGACTTTGAGATCCTAGTGGAAGGTGAAGGGTTGGTGAACCAGAGCTGTCATTCAAGCACAAGTACTGAGCACCAGTGCAGGATTGAATTCCAAACCAGGGAGACGGTGTGGGGGAGATGACCAAGTGATAGGCTTTTAAGCGCAATGTAATAGAGTAAACCTAGACCCTGGGTGGACTTTCTACCCCATATGTTTAACTTGTCCTGAGAATTTTAGACATTTCAATCAAGCACAAGTACTGTGTAGAGGGAAGGAGATATCATGCCACTATGTCTGACAGCGGTTCATTGATTTCCCCAGTTAGAGAATGCAGCTTTTCCTTCCTTCATTCCAGAAATCAAAGACTCATTACAAAACAAATCAATAGTGACTAGTGGGGAGGGGTGATGGTGGGGAGAGACACACAGAGAGAAAGAGGGCTTCACCACAGTTCTCTTTGTTGTGTAATGTCAACAGAATCCATCCGATTGATTTCCTGATCAAAGTGTGCCTCCTCTGGGATTTCTGAAGGAGTCCTTCAATGGTTGATTTCTCAAGGAGGAGACAGGACAGAATAGGACAGGTTGACAAGTCAGGGGCTGTACACTTTACATAACAAAAACTCCAGACAAAGTTCCTTCTCTTTGTTCCCTTACAATCTGATTCTTACAATGCACTTCGTCACGAACAAGCAAGATCATGAATTACGAGCGAAAAGACATCATTGCAGATCCATTTCTGCATCCTCCACCCAACTCCCCCCCCCCCCCATCATAAATAATGGGGATTGTAGACCCTGGGGAATGGCTCGGTCAATTACTTAATTGGCTGATGGTTCCTGCTTGAGAGCACTTCAGATCTCCACGCCTATTCCTCCAGCTTTTCAAATAAAATAGGGGATATAATAAATGCCTGACACGCTTTCACAGACCATTATAATATTCTCGGTCATAAAGTGTAAGTTTCCATGAAGATGTATTTGAACCCTTTCCTGAACTAATTCCGTAATGCAGGTTCTTTGCTGTGAAATGATGCCCATCCAGCATCCATCCTCCAGCTGATTGTTGTCCCTCACCAATTGCTTGTCAGCAGCACTGTGACCAACTTGTTATCAACCTTGTTGTAATCTGCCTGTCAAGCTTGGGATAGTTTCTGCTTGGCCCTTGGAGGGACATTGAGGCACTGAAGAACTCGCTTTGTGCTGGTCTGTCCTTATTTTATGGAAAATTAAGCAAAAGGGAAATAATAACATAATAATAAAAATCCTTGCATTTGATGCAGCGCCTTACCACGTCGCTGAGACGTCTCAAAGTGCTTCACAGAAAATACTGTAAAGTAAAATTGACTGTATTTTGGGGGCGAAACGCAGTAACCAATTGCGTCCCCCAATCGACTAACAAGCAAGTTCCTATTTACTGCAAGGTAAACAGAGGCATGTGGAGTATGGAAACTTGCCTAAGCTATCGGCCTGCCTGGGGAATCAAACCTGGGCCCTCGTGCTTATGATGCGAGTGCTCTAACCACAAGACTACAGGATCCTCCAAGAAGTACCGAGAGTTACAGAGGAAACAAGAAAAATAGTCCCAGTGTAGACTCACACCCGAAATCCAGGTTATCTCTCCAACTCAGATGTCCATTCACCTGCTGTGTTTCCTTCTTAATGAGGAGCTTATTACAGAATTTTTTTCAGTTTTCCGACAGACAGGTTTCTCTCAGACTCCCAAACCCATCTCAGTATGAGCATCCAAACCTGACTGAGTGTTCCGTGTGTGGACTCCCTCCTTGTAAGAAAAAAAGGCCTCTGATTATCTAATTCCAGAGAGATTTAGGCGCAGCTTCTCAAGAGCCTAGAACTGTCTTGATAACACCCTGAGTACCCTTAACGTAACACATTGGAGTCCTATAGCTCAGTGGTTAGAGCACTCGCTTTGCAAGTGAGAGATCTGAGTTCAATTCCAGGCAGAGGGCGAAACCTTGGGCAAGTTTCCTTACTCCACACAGAGCCTAATAATAATCCCTCCAAAGCCAAAACAATAATAAATTGGTCATTTTCAATCTACGACTGTTTGTGGGACATTGCTGTGCACAATTGGCTGCCGCATTCGCCCACAAATATACAGTCAATTCACTTTACAGTGTGTTCTGTGAAGTGCTTTGGGACGTCCTCCCGACGTGAAAAGCGCTATATCAAATGCAAGGATTATTATTATTAGTAGTATTTATAAAATATCTAGTATTTTGGCAATTCTGAGCTATTTCTGACATTGGGCAAAGAATGAGTGAAAGAAACCAGAATCATTGAAAAAGTACCTGAGCCATAAAAGAAAGCAGTAAAATAAGTTGACTTCACTTATAAAATAAACAGTGGCATTGACACAGCCATGATGGGCTGAATGGCCTCCTTGCGTGCTTAAAACCCCCCTCTGTTTCTACACTTGCATTCTTTGAAAAGAGGCACTGTGACGTCAGTGGGGTAGTGAGTTGTATAACTGTCAGTCAACTGTTCTTCAGCAACATCAATTAAGTTTGTGGGTTTGTAGCTGGTAGTCATGATGTTGTGCAAGGCAAAGACCAGAGAACCACAGGTATGGAGTGAGAGAGGTACAGGGAAAGAAAACAATTAGATATCATGTGGACTCGCACCAGGAAGGTTCGTTATCTCTCTATTTCAGATGCTCACTGCATTTCCAGCATTTTTTAGGGGGCTTTCCGATTCTAATTGAGAAACAAACTAGTTGCATGGAGAAAATAACAGATTGAGAGAGTCAGAGAGGCTCATCACACCAACCACAAACATTCAGATAAGGCGATGATTCATGTGAATTTGAATGAGGGAGAAGTATTGATCAGGACACTGGAGAGGAAAGAATCCCTTGTACATACAGTACCATACAAACTATTGATGTCCTCTTAAAGTGGAAGAGGCAGTCATGACCTTGGTTAGTGTTTCTCTTGAAGGCAACAGTAGAGTGCGTTGTTGACATGGTTCTGTGATGTACGGAGTGAGAATTGAATAGCTCAATAAATTGACTGAGTGAAAGGAGAACCAGTGCATGTTGTTGTTTGGGGCTAGCTAGACAGATGCCACTGATCTTTGCCACAAGAACAACTTGATCACAAATCAAATACCAACCAGACCAGCAGTCCGACTTACCATTATTCCTCAGCCCACCTGCACCTCTAGGGCATTAACCAGGCTCATTATGATCACCACCAAGGGTCTGACACGTGTGAAACCCATCATAAGCTTACCCAAACCAGACTGCGGGTGCCACATATCTGTGCCACCTACACGTGGAGATTTCCCTGTGTCTGGAATGGAATGCGCACCCTCTTCACTCCCCCTCAGGGACATGCCCTTTTGAGGAGCAGTTAGATTCTAATGCACATAATCACAAAGCTTGCATGCGTCATAGCAAAAGCACATCGTAACACAAACAGAAACTGACGCAGGGATCATTCTCACAGGAAGCAGGGCACTGAAATCAGTGGCAAAAGGCAGAGTACCATTTTTTTGAACCCTTGTGCCAAAGCTCCTCTTTAATTGTCGAGCCTATTGTTCCAGTGTGCAAAAGTGTGCCGTTTCTATTGCCCACAATGCCCATCCTTGTGGCTTCTCCGAATGCGACTGAATGATGTCAATTTAGTGCTGATTGTTAGCTGAATCATGGCCACTTTGTTGCATGGATCCGGTCCCAGCAGGTGCTAAATTGAGACTGACACAAACTTTTTCTATACTGGGAACCTTAACAGCCAGGATAGAGAGAACTAACGTCACTGCATTGATCTGGACTTCAGTCCAATATGTCTCCCGGAAGCTTATGTAAAAGCAGAGCACTCAATAATATTCATTAACTCTTTTTTTAAAAAAATTGAGTGTTAATACATAACGATACTCATTTCAGTTAAAGTCGGCCACAGAACGATGGCTTTGGTGCTATCTTGCTCTGTACTAGTGAGTTTTGAGTTCTGCACGAAGTGTGATAGCGGATCAGCAGGAAAAGAGTGATCAATGAGTTGGTGCGTGGGCAGTTACGGTCCCGGGGAGACAGGTGGGAAGGACATGCCTGGCAGAAGGAATGAGCACATAGACCTGACAGAGAGGAAGCAGGAGAGAAAGAGTGAGGGCAAGAGGGGGAAACACCCAAAGGGACCAGAGTGTGGGAGAATACTGGGTATGAGAAATAAACACTTTCTTGTCAAATATGCGCACAAAGATGTCTTGGGCCCCTGTCCACAAACTTGGTCAGACTTGCTGAACTGCAGCCTACTTTTGTGAAACTCGTTCCCAGTAATTAAACAGTAGGCTTTTTTATTTTGGTTCTGGGGGGGGAAGGGAATCCCCTTTGTGCAGTTCAATTGCATTTTGTAGATCAGTGGAAATGGGTGATAATAGGGGATCCTGAGTGGTGAAGCTCAAGGAACTCCAGTTATTATTGGAGAACGGGTTCTCTCTGTCCACACCACACTGTTGGAATAAAACAATGGCACCCTTTTGCATCCTTTGAATGATGTGTTTGGGGGGGGGGGGGGGGGAGGGGACATTAGGGCAGGGACATGTTGTCATAGTTGATAAATTCGACATACCAAGAGATCCAAGTTCTCTGCATCTTTGGGGAAACCTCTGAACAGTATTGGCTTCCCAATCCAGATAGGCAGTGTGTTCCTTATGGCTTGTTGGTTTGGAATATTGGAAGGGATCTCTGAAAGTTTCTAGAAAAGAGGAAAAGGATCGGAGTCAATTTTGCCAGTCAAAGACTGGCACACACACCAACAAAAATGGGAACTGAAGTTTTGAATACAGGAACCCACAAGATTTGTTTTTTAAATGGATTTGGAACACGTCTCCTCCAAACACATCTTGGGGAGAAGACCCCAGTGACAATTGGATGGTTAGCTCGACTTTGGCTGGTACCCATCAGACCGCTTTCTTTCCTCTTTCCTCGGCTCTACTCCTGTCTGTGGGATTTATGCTTCCCTTTATATTTACTGCTGCTGTTGTAAATCAGCCTGAGAACTGCTAGCCGCTATTTCATTTCTCTTAAGATTTGCAGCTGGCTTGGCCCGAGAGGGAAGGGTGCGATTTATGTGGTCTGAAAGTGCTGTTTTATTCCTGGCCCATCATCTAATGTGGAAATGTTTGAATGTCTTAACACGTGCAAATATTTCTTCTAAGGAAAACTCCAGAACATTCTCTGTTATCATTGAACATATTCAGCTGAAGCAGCACTGTTTGGCTGTGGTACCAGCGGGGATTGAAACGGGAGGATCTTAAGGAACCACTTTTCTGTCAAATGGCTCATGTTTTCCCTCAATACCATCTCCTCTACCTTTTTCACAAGTTCAGCTCAGTTAAAATCTCTTCATTTGGACAGTTGAGTGTCTGACACACAAAGAAACCCACCATTGTGATTAAGGGTATCTGCACCAAATTGAGAGCTCCCCAAATGTGTCCACCTCCACATGGAAATGTTTCTGTGTCTGGAATGGAATATGCACTCTTTCCACACAGGCACACACCCTGATGGCCTATTTTCGGTGAATATTGGGTCCAAGTTGGTATGTGCCAAGGCTTGTCCAGCTTGGACCACCCTAACAGTTATGGCTTTGGTTCGCAGGGATAAACAGGAGCTGAGTGGGAAGAATCCCTGCTCCCAGTTTGCCCCTCCAAATCCTGCCAATGAGCCATCAGCTCATTGTCATCAGCAGTACACTGGAATATTGCGGACTTGCCTGGCTCAGGAAATGGACTACCTACATTAAAGTTGAGACTGAATTCAACAATTTGTCAAATTTTGGATGCTCTGAAAGCCCTGTGAGTGCTTCGCTGACATGAGAAGATGTTATATCAAATTCAAGGATTATTAAGGATTATTATCATTGAGCCTCAGTGTGCTCTGTTCTTCCCCCACATGCTGGCAAATGGAATTAGGTTGAAGACAGCGTTGCTTTGGGGAATTGAAGAAGCCTCGCTTTAAGACTTGGCTGCAATTATTTTATTCTCTTCATACTCTTCCCATCAACGTTGGGTTTTATTGCTTGAAGCCAGAGATCTCTCTCTATGTCTTTGTAATGACAGACGTTATCTGCTCACACCAAAAAAAGTCTTTAGAAAGACAGACTGCAAACTCTGATAGTGACACTCTCAAAAACCGAGCTGTAAGAATCACTGCTTTTTTATGATGTTGAAGAGATACTGTGCATGATAACACCCTATTTTTCCTTACTTTAAAATCCCCTTTAAGCCGGATATGCTGCAACATGCTTCTGAATGGATCTGACGTCAAGTGTTGTACTTTGGCGACACCTTATAAGGTGCCTCTGGATGGCTGGACATGACCATGTTATTGTTCATTTTATCAAATACTTAGATTCGACAATCTGCCATGATCTGGGCCCCTTAAAATCATTTGGATTAATTGGGGAATAGGGTGAAAGGCATGAATGCAACTTAACTGAAACCTCTAACAAAGGATGGATAGATTTCTTAATCAACAACCAGCACGGCTTTTTTTAGCAAATGTTACTATTAAATCTCTTAAGAGATTAATGTTCAGTGTAGGCATTTTACTGAAATAAAATGTTATCCTGCTGTTCTTTTATATTTACAAAAAAAACTTCTAATACAGTGCGGAGACAGTGTTTACCAGCATTAAAAGCATTTCTACATCTTTATCGAAAACATAGACTGAAAGAGGGGAAGAGGAGATGATTTGCTGATAAATTATATAATTATCACAAGGACAGAATTTGCTGTTGTTTGTAGCCGGTACCTAACATCTGGTTTGGGGGCAGGATCTCCAAAAACCAACACAACAATACAATACCAAGTTATATTTGTATAGCACTTTTCATGTCGGGAGGACGTCCCAAGGCACTGGACAGTCAGGGATTTGGACCCGAGCTGGGGAATCAGGGAGGGTGGAGGGAACGGAAGGTCTGTATCAAATGTAAGGATCATTATTATTATTATTCATTTTGAAATCATGCCTTTTTGTCTTCAAATCCTCAACCAGCAGAAAGAGTTTTTTCACAATTATTTCTCTCAAGCCTTTTCATTATAATATAAATAATAATACTCCTTACTTTTGATACAGTGCCTTATCACATCTTTGAGACGTCTCAAAGCGCTTCACAAAATATACTGTAAAGTGAATTGACTGTATAGTTGTGGGTGAAACGTGGCAGCCAATTGCACACAGCAGTGTCCCACAAACAATCGTGGATTGAAGTGACCAATTTATTGTTTTTTTTTGAGGGATTATTATCCCCGGAGAAGCAATTCGCCAATCGACTAACAACCAAGTTCCTATTTACTGCTGGATCAACAGAGGTATGTGGAGTAAGGAAACTTGACCAACCGTTCACCTTGCTGGGAATCGAATCCGGGTGTCTCACTTGCGAGGCGAGTGCTCTAACCACTGAGCTACAAGATCTTAGACGGTGACTAATGAACAACACTGGGAGATTGAGATTAAACATAATCAATCGCAAAGGTCGTTTGGCTTTCTGGTTCTCAGTAGAATCAGCAAATCGTTGACCAACCGTGATCATCAATTCTGGTTTGTGAACTTTGCATTTGCAACCCTCAGTCTCAGAATGTCCCAGTTCTGGGTATCAGTTCTGGAAGCATTACAGAGAAGCAAGCAGTGTGCAGCATATCTGGCACATGTCACAGCATGTAGAAAAATAAATCCTTGCAATATACTGGGTATCTGGGGAAAATTCCAAGACTGAATTCCGTTCAGAATTTTTTAATTACTGTATGTCAACTAAAGAATTGAAGTTGCAGCAATTAATAAGCATTGTCTCATGCCTGGGATCAGAAATGTCTGCTGGCTATTCATAGCACAGGCTGGATTGAGACTTGTGTTGAGAGCTGATTATTGTCTCTGGGAGACTTCTTCATTAAAGAGAAGCGTGCTCCGATAGAAGGAGATCAGAGTAGCCTGTTGCTCAGGCTTTGCTTTCTTCCCAGCACCAGAGAGATGTGCAGGCTGATTTCTACTCCCTACTCCACATTGCATTGGGGCTTGTTAGAGACTAACCCTGTGTTCATTGAAATTCTATCTGTGTGTGGTTTAATGTGAATATGTTGGTACAGGAATCAATGACCTTGATCGTCATCCTACATTTGATATATAATAATCGTAATCTTTGCATTGGGTTTTGCACCTTATCATGTCATTGAAACGTCTCAAAGTGCTTCACAGAATATAAAGTGAATTGACTGTCTCTTGAATCACAAAGGGGTTTCAATGTGAAAACCAGGACTGGAAGAAATCACCATGCTGCAAATGCATTGAACACTTCCCCTGTGTCCACCTGAGCATCCTTTCAATCTTTTCGATCTCAATGTGATGCTCTAACATTTCCTTAGATTACCCGTAATCTGGGAATTCAGATGGATTTTATTGGCTCCAATGAGCCTCAGAAAGTACGTTCCTCACAGGACCTGTTGTGCTTGCTGTTTGCCTATCAGCTATCTCAAGATGGGGGTTACCTACCTAGCAGAAGAATGCCGTGGTATGTCACTGTCCTTAATCCATGTGTAATAGATTTACGGGGATTCAGCTGAAGCTCACTGATCCCAAACTGAAAGACATCCATAGCTTCTCTCTGAGCCGCGGTATGTCAGAGGCACGGTTCCAGAATGCTCTTGGACTCTGAATATTATTATCTATTAAATCACAGAGTTGAACAATGACAAATACAGGAATGAATTATTTAGCAACAGAATTGCTCTGGTAATGGTGCTGCGGGACAAGCATCACAAATCCGCTAGTCTTTGAAAGCCTTACGGAGAAGACGGATATTCCTTGAAACGCAGCATCATTGAATTCTCTGTGCCAACGACCGTGATTTCTGTCGAACAGCGTTCAGGGTGAAATGGTTTCCTATAAATTTCAAATGAGGCTAAGGCCTAGGAATGAATAAATTCCATGTGCAGATAAGGAAAACAGAGCTGGGTAAAACATTCAGCTCGCACCTCACCATGCAATCGAATGATTACCTCCTTTATCCAAGCATAGAGCCGTGCCATTCCTAAGCAACTGCCATAGCTGAAGCTTAGCTGCTCTGAAGTTACTTTTTAACTAAAACTTACTTATAGAATCATGGGATCTTACAGTACAGAAGGAGGTGATTCGACCACGAGTGCCGACATTCCATCTGTAGCGCCAAGTGAGCCTGACAATATGGTAGGCGTTCGATTGAAATGTGAGATTTTGCTTCCTTAATAACTCAGTGCAAACTACAATAGAGCCAATTATCGACACTAATTGTGACCATCTCAAATGATGCATAAGCGAACAGTGCTGATAATTGCTCACCACACGAAACATAAAATTGGTTACATTGCTAAACCCAAACATTGCACATTTCTATCCTGGCTCTCGTCTCTCTTTTTCTCACCTCCCCAGCGAGGGCACAAAATATACAATCACTACACTTTACAGTTAAAACATAATCCATAAGTGCACATGCAGATATTTGGTGTATGGGTATTCCACACTGAAGACTAAAGACTTGACAAGTATAATTAAGTTTTGCATTGGAACTGGGAACTTTGCTCTTTATGACCATGTGCCACTCACTTATAAGTGGGTTTCCCACTTTAAGCACTGTGTCAAGAAATGACCTGCAGTGAACAGCATATGTTAGTCCTCTTGTGCATTACATGTGACCTCACCTTTGCCTTTCACTGTATAGAT